AGTTTAGAAAATTGCAAAATGCAAGGAAATGAGTTTACAATTGACTAAAAACAAAACCATGCAAGAAGGATGTAAACTTGTACTCAAATGAAGATTTTGTATGTTAGCTAAATAATAATACAGTATGTCTGYGCCATGTATTTTAAGTGATAGAGCTATTAGTAAAGGCAAGTCCCATAGTGGCAAGTTAGTGACAATCCCCATACAACACACTGCTAATAGAAATTTTTAGCTCATTTTTACTGTTAAAACCAGTTAAAAAAGGCATCCAACGGACAAAAATAAAAATATTTCCATTGTTTAGTAATTTGTCACTGATCTTAAAATATTTCTCTTAGTGGTCCTTACTACTGGGGATATAAAATCAGTGCTTACTACTTGAGAATTAATATTAGTGCTTACTACTGGTGGATCACCTCCATTACTACTTACTACTACTAGTTGGGATGTCATAGTAGTGAACACTGCAAACTGCTGGGTAAGGGTGGGGTTCTGTTGGTGCTGCCCTCTCACCGATATAGTAAGCGTCCCGATGTTTGAAGAAGTCATGCACGGGTGCAAAACTGTGTTAGCTTGAAATTCTACTATAACCGGAGTTTCTTATTGAAAATTGCCCAGCACACTACTATTCTCACCATGCTGCTGAAGAAGTTGAATTGTAAGTTCATGCTGCTGAAGAAGTTGAATTGTAAGTTTCCAATTACAAGTATCTTAGATAGTAGAAGTAATATGCACACTACAACAACACTGCTTGAATAGTAGAACAATGCCTGGTGAGCAGTGATTGCCTAGAAATTTGAATAGTTTTACTACGTTTTATTATTTATTGTTGCCAGTACTAGTAGTAGTAATAGACTAGTAGTAGTACAGTACTAGTTAATGAAGTACAGTACTATGGTACTATGTTGAGATGAATTGCGTTTTTCCAGATCAAACAAAGAACCCCCTGAGAAGTGTTTCGTGTTTGTTGAAGAAGATATGCAAACAAGCATTGTTATTTCTGAGCCTCAAATAATACTCCCAGTAGTACCACTACTAGTAGTACTACACCATCTATCAGCAGCACTAACTTTACTAGTAGTTGTACAGGCTTTTTTGTTGTCTTTCTGGCGATATTCAATTTTCTTTTCTCCAGGTCGCATTGTAATAGTCTACTAGTAGTACTTTAATGCAGAACAGGAGTCCAGGGCAGCARATGTCACCAAATTTTTGTGCCCGTAGTTTTCAAAATTCTGCTCGGTTGAAATCTCCAGCGGTGACGCAGTTCTATTWAATGCATGCACGATAGTAGAACACTAATGATTTTATCAGTCGGTGGGAACTTTTCTTTTGCATCCAATGCATCTCGTGACTAGTATGTGGGTACTACCAGGCACTCAAGAACAGTTGGAATCTCATTTCTTGATTGCCAACCTGTTACGTTGAAACAGCACAGATCTTCCTCTTCATATCAATTGCAGTATCGTTGCAAGTGGCTCATATACTTCTTGCCTTTGGTAGGTGACCTCCCCTTAGGTGTAGAGGTMGCAAAGAGRTCGTTTCTTACGTCGTTCGMTCTTTCCGTCGTTTGATGCACATCCAATCTCACTCGCTGGTCGGTGCTTCGGGAGCTATTCGTCCCTGTTCGGTGATGAGACCCAGCTCCCGCAACCGCCCGGTGGACAAGGRAACCACTGGCGCTATTCCCCGGGCCCCACCGGTCCGTGCGCCCGGCGACATCGTTGGTTTCGTGCTCGCGGCAGAGGTCCACATCTTGTCGACCCTGCAAACGACGACGTCGTGGGACCCTTCTCCGTCGTCGTTGCAGTCGATCGCGTGGTCCCCGACCATGGACAACTTTAGATAACGGAYACAGCCCGGCAAAACTCTCGGAAGATCGGTGTTGTCGTCGGTGGGGAGTTCCTGCAGTTCCATGCCGAGATCCAGGAGCTCGTCTTCCTTGCAGACATCGGCCCCCGAAGCCCCGCCYAGCAAMCGAACACACGCCGCGAAGACTTCTGGAGATTCCCGGTCGCCCTCCACGTCCGAAGACAGCAGCTGCAGGACGCAAGACTTTTCGCGCAGAAAATTCTCCCGGCTCTTGGTTTCCTTGTACAAACCCAGTGCGTACAACCGATCCGGACGTATCGATACGGGCGTRGCGTAGGTCAGGAGATTCATGTTGGTGGTTCTCTTCCTTTTGGTCTTGTTGCCGGCGCCKATCTCGGTTTCCGTTGCGGTCTTCTCGTTGCTGTCGCCCTCGAGGCCGTCGTCGTTGAAGGTCGCCATGGACCACACCGGAACGTCGAGCAACGGTGGGACTTCGGTGGCTACCACCGTAGTGCCAGGGGTGGATGCGGATGCGGATGCGGACAAGGCATCGACAGCGCGGCTATGCGTGTGCAATACGGGGAGGACGATGGCCGCCACGCCCATGATCCAGACACGAGGCGATGGCATAGTTCGTTTTCGTCCTTGCTATTGYCTCGATCCTTTCGRGGATTGCTATGGAATGGTTTGTTTCACGTCCCTCTCGTAKTAGACGTTGTATCCCACAGTATTGTGATGAGGGATTGTGATTCCAACGATGCGACGCTASTACAGCACAAACATCAAAACGTATATGCTGTGGTTTGATGAATCGTTGACCTTTCGACGATTGTGGTGCGATGCGATGCGATGCGTTTCGGGAGAATGAGTTTKGAGAGTTGAAGGGACAAGTAAAGATTGAACTTGAACATGTTGTGTTCATGGTTGAACACGATGTGAGACTCAAGAGCAATGGTACGAGTACGAGTACGAGTACGTAGTACAGTACGTAGTACCCGGTGCTACGGAGTTAAACTACTATTAGTGCAGTACTTCCTCCGTCCCAGAATGATTGTCCCTAAAACGTTTACTATTTACTATTGGAAAAAGGTTAGTGGAAGAAGTATTTGGGCAATTTGAATGGTTCTTTTTCTAATTATATTCATCTTGTTTTATACAATTTGAGCGTGCTATGCATTTTAATATCATACTAATAGTAAGATTGAAATACTAAGCCTTCAAATGGAGCCCTTACTAGTAGTACTAATAATGAAATTTTGAACTTACTGGTGGTGGTGGTGGTGGTGGTTGAAAGGGTTCCAACAGTTGTTATTTTGACAATCAGTGCATGTTCATTTTTTCTATGATACTGATTATATGTATTMTAAATGGTCATATTTTATTGGGGTTAAATGAAAGTATCAAAAAGTGTTACTAAGTACTAAATAAGGGGATTTTCAAACATGGACAGTAAAATTGGAGTCACAGTACGGTCATTGTGGTTGGAACGAGCACCAAAAATCCATTTGCTACAGAAGATACTAGCATMTTCAGATTTTTCACAGTCATAACCATCAAATTTTCTGGTCCTACTGTTACATTATTATCATTGAAAAATTAACATATGAAACTTCTGTTTTTATTCTGTTTGCCAAGAACACTTTTTCTTGATTTGGCACTCCGCCCTTAACCTCAATCTCACCCAACCCAGTGATGCATGCCTGAAAATAACTTCCTGAACTGATAACATTTTGCTTTTCCTCATTATCACRATCCATGTCTTGGGAGTGGGATTCTCTTTCATTTACAACTACTCAGATTCCCCTCAAACTTGTCCAACAACAAGGTATCAGTAGTTTCTTTGTCCTCAGTCTTAGTTACTAGTATGTTGTGCCCATCAACYCATTATTGTTGTTCTTTGGTGCAAGGGGACCAACCAGGCCATGACTGTGGCTCTCGCAATTGAGTGGTGACAGTGAGGGGTGCTCTTTCAAGTTTTGAGGAGCAGAAAACAAGGAATTGGTGGGCCTCCCCTTTCTTAATTTTAGAATCGCCAATGGTTATACTAGTGACTATACCAAGTACTATTCTACCACTACTACTAAGGCCTGGGAGGGATTGTATAGAATATTATGATTTTTGGTAATGGACAAGTTYCCTCACACTTGTTTGTGCTGTTTTTAATTGAAGAAGTCATCTGCAAAGAAGGTGGCACCAATGGGTGACAACACCAAATATTTAATGTGGATTTTGATAGTTCAAAACGCTTGTTGTAGGTAGTAGTATCTGCTGCATATATACCACTTGATCTCACCTTGATGTCCATGTTGTCAACAAAGTCTTCCTCAAGCTCACAAAATGAACTGCTAGTAGTAGTAAGCAAGACAAACACTTTCATCATTGATTTGAGAGTAGTAACACCCATCTTCTTTCAAAGAAGGTTTTGTGTAACTTGTTCTACAACATCTTTTTGATTTTCGTTTTCTGGTATCAAGGAGTGCCATCTTGGGAACAGAAGCAACATTTGACGTCATTCAATGGGTAAAAAATGCRGGAACTAATAGCAGGATTGACCATTGTTATCTGGTATGGTTTGTTGATGTTGTTTTTGATTGTTGTGTGTTTTTGTCTTTTGGAACAGAAAGTGACGGTGTCAGCAAGTGCCATTTAGAAATCTGTGCAGTTTGGATGATGGTGCGATAAAAATCAACAATTTAATTGACTTTTTTGGGAATGTCAACACTATACAATACTGAGCATTGTTAAGAAGTTTATTAYTTCTCTGAATGTTGGTTGCTGAACTGAATTTTGGTTGAAATCTCTTGGTGTCTGGGTCAGGAGAAATGGTGCCAAATGTTCCAACAATCATTCTCTCAACATCAGAAACCTGCAATTTAACACCCTCTGAGCAGTCAATTGTTTCTGGTCCTCTGATTTGACTGTTGTCATAAATACTATTATCATTCTAGTACTATTAGAAAATATTTATTGTCATCAACAATTTAATTGCCGCCTTCACAATCTTGTTCTTGGTGTTGATTTCTATTCAACATCACTACTACTASTAGTAGTACTATCAACAAGRGTATGATAGTAACTGTGAATGCTTTTGAGCAAATCTGCTGCCAAAAACCAAGTTTTTATCAAGAAATAMACATTGGTCTTGAACAAGAGCCACTTCTTCTTTGTTTCACTTTGTTGTCATCTTAAGAACTCCTGGTGGGCAATAACCTTTCATCAATCCACTTGGTGGTGGTTTGCTGATATGTTTTTGGTTCAACTTTGATAGTAGTAATAGCAAGGGAAACAGCATAATGGTGAAAAAAATGTGGATGTTGACATCTTCTTTGTACTGGCTCTATATTGACACATTTCCTGAAGATCACATTCATGACTAGTATAGTTGTGTTAATTTAGATCTTTCAAGTCTACTAGAGAATGGACTTCTGTTCACCAATCTTGGAATGACCAGTTTCATCATTGAATKGCTGGTGGTCAGAATCATGACCAAACTTTTCTAGGGAATGGATTCCYTTTCATGATGGAGGGGTTACTGCTTCTTTGTTAGCATTATGATAGTACTACTACTAGCTAATGATTTACCAATTCTTTTTTGAAAAAGGGGGGAGTTCTCTTTAATTTTGGAATGACTGATCATGGAAAGAAGAAAGAATGGTGTATACATCAAGTYTTGGGAATGGTTTTCTCTTCAATCTTAATATGAGATTATTGTTTTATTTTGGAATGGTTGATTATGACAATGGCCAAATACTAATAGAGTCTAGGGATGGGGTTATCTTTAATCTTATTATGACCACTTTAATCTTGGAATGATATACTAGTACTAATGATGAAAAATGAATAATTTGCACAAGAATGTTGAGCTACTACTTCTAATTTATTCACAATTCTGTGTCACAAAAGCCTACATGAATTTTGCTCAAAAATCTCTTTTTGTTTCTACAGGATATTCATTAAAAATAGTTTCTGTACTAACCCATTGGTTCCGATGACTACTGTAATGATTCCATCATCGCTAAAATAGTAAAACATCTGCAGAGCTATTCAAATAATCTGGTGATGCAGGCCTCCAATTCTGCTTCTTCTGAACACATGGGTAATTCAGAACCAGGTTGAAAATAATTTGTACTGAAAAAATTTAAGGATGGGAACCTTGAATTAGTGATGACAATGAATAGGTTAGCATGGGGATCAATTGCCAAATGATTGACAGTATTTATATTTTAAAATTATGTAATCTACCTTTATAGCAATGACGTAGCTTCACTGGCAACCATGTATATTTTGTCTACCTGCTGACCACAACCCTTGTTAGCACAACAGCCGTCGTCATCCTTGATCCCGTCCTTCTTTAGCAGAATCTGTTCTTGGATCTTGTTCCAATCCGTAAACAGAAACAGAAGTATCAACGATGAATTCATGCACAAATAAGGAATGTTCATCCAGAACCAAGCAGCGCCTAATCCCTCATCCAAGACGATGACCGAATAATAAATCATCGGCAAACCGAACAACCAYAGGAATACAAAGTTGATGACGCCGAGTGCCCATTGTTTTCCTAGGCCGGTAGCGATACCCGCCAGKATGCCAAACAGCGACACATTTATGTTGAACAGTGAGACCTCCGACCAGATCACATCTGCTAGTTCCTTGACGGCATTATCTRTGGTAAACAGGTCTACAATCACATCCCTATAGACGTAAACGGCAACCGAAACCAACCCAAACAGCAGCGTCGAAAGTCCGGACGTCACGATGACTACCGATTGGGTGTGCCCGACCGAAATAGGCAGGATTACTCCCATCCGAATTGCGAGGGCAACCCCAAAGGCGAAGGGGACCATGCAAAAGGCCATGATGGTCTGGTTCGGTATCGTGTGTACCGACAGGGCCACTACACCCAATTTTCCCACTATTAGACCAATGGCTTCCCAAAAGACCCACTCGCATTGTGCTACGATCCCTCCCATTCCAAGGTGAAAGAATTCGTTCATACGGTGCCACTCCAGTGCATTTTGCATACTTTTCCACGAAAGACCTGGCCAGGTCCCACTATGGTGCGGATGCTTCCACCAAACGTAACCCAGAAGGAARAGGGACTGAGATGCCTGGAACAGGACATAGGCCACCGCGGAACCCAGAAAGCCCATGGTGTTTATGCAGAGTGTTARGCTCACCGGCAACACGAAACCCATGCAGAGAATTGACACTAGAATCAATGGCTTCATAATGTGTTGCGCCGTTAAGAATTTCCACAAGCAGTTGTACAGGATTGAAAACGGCATGTTAAAGATGTATATCCTGAACCACGCTGTAGCGTGTGAAGATGCCTCCGCGTTTTGTCCGAGAGCAACCATGATATCCGTCATGAAGAAAAACAAGCACGCGTTGATTGGAAATAGCAGAGTGAAAGCRACTACAAATCCCCTGATCGCAATRTAACCGACTTCCGGATAGTCCTTCCGCCCAAAGGCCTGGGGCGACAGGGTGTCGCTGGCCGAAAATAGGCCAGCCATCAAACTGAAAGTACAAAGATTCCCGGTGAGATTCGCAAGCGTAAATGCCGACAAGTAGACGGGAGTAAAAGACCGTCCGATGTAGCTCGCTGTCAATAAGGGACTCATTATAAAGGCAAGGTTCATTAGGCAAGACACACCCGCGAGTTCGAAAAACAGACGGGCTTCTTCCCAGAAACCGCCGCCGCTGTCGTCGCATATCTTGTTCTCGTCGTCAGCTGTTGCAGTGATTGGCAAATCATTGATGGCATAATGGAGACTGACATTACGTTGATTTTCATTTTCTTCTTGTTCCTGTKGATGTTGATGCGGATWATTCTTCATCTGTCGTTGACATTTTGTCAAYTGCAATGGATCGATGGCGTCTAATTCATGTGTCAAAAAGGCCGAATCTTGTATGGATAGATCAATCGAGGGACGTTTTTGCCCTGTCATAGTTTTAATTGATAATCGGATTAAACTTTATGCAAAATGCTCCCGTRAAGTTCCTCTGTCTCGCTAGAGATAGTGGCGGTATTTAATTTTACAAGAAGTATCGACAATTTCACATGCTTTCGAYGTTCTGGTACGGGCGTGAACGTATTTTGTTTCGTTGGAGGGAGCTATGGATGAATGAATCTTCAGCTTCAGATCAATCCTATTTCCTTTGATTTTGATTCATTCGAAAAAATTTCCTTCGACGATGACGACGAGCGCTGGCGAACCAGAGATGTGGATGCAAGCAAGACCTTCAATTCGAGGCAGTCGAATTGGTCCCTGAATTTAACGAATACAAACACGTACATACGGCTCGTACGTATGTACCATCTCAGATTCAAAAATAAATAAATGTACCGGTACCAGTACTGCATGTACCTTGTACGGTACGGTTCGCTTTTACCGTAGCTATTCGTAGTGGTACGCTACGGTAGTAGGTAGTAGACTGAAAAACAGAACGGTACGTAGTGAAGTACGCACGTTGTCGTACCCAAAATACGAAGCTATTACTACTGTATCCATTATCCATTCGACATAGCATCGTGTGACTTACTACATACTCGTCGAACGGAAGTGAAACAACTTTGTATCCCACTCCCATCAATAATTGAATTGATGTACAATGGTAGTATCAGAAGCACCACCAATTGTCTCTAGTCTGCTGGTTGAATGTGAGGAGGTACGTCGTCTTTATTTTGAATCTTTATGTAACACAGTAKAAGTATTTGCTTCGTATTTATTCGAAAAAATCTTATTCCAGTATGATATTAAGATTCGCAGGTATCATACAACTTTTACAAGGTGAACATATGTATGGCACGTAAAGAGGATGAATAGTCATATTCCGTTTGCGGTTCGTCGCTCGCAGCCCAACTACCCCAAAAGAATAGAATAGCTTTTCTTGCATACAAGCAACCTTCGCGATGAGTTTTTTTGTTTCCTCCAAACCTTGTTTGTTCCTTTTGAAGTTGCATCCTTTGACTTTGCGAAATCTGGAGAAGATACCCTTCCTCAACTTCTTGCAAAGGGCCTCGTTGTGACTAAAGGGTGACTGCTTGGGAGACCGTTTGGTCTTGGTCACAATTTGGGTAGGAACCCAAGAAGGAGCAGGGGTAGGCACAGGACTAGACGAAGGAGCGGTAGAAGGATCGCGGRTTCTGTTTGATGTCGTCGTCACTCATATGACGGAAACAGTGGTCGTAGGGATATTTTGATGGAGCATTGGACRGCTGGTCAGTCATAACATAGACNGAGCTATGGATGAATGAATCTTCAGCTTCAGATCAATCCTATTTCCTTTGATTTTGATTCATTCGAAAAAATTTCCTTCGACGATGACGACGAGCCCTGGCGAACCAGAGATGTGGATGCAAGCAAGACCTTCAACTCGAGGCAGTCGAATTGGTCCCTGAATTTAACGAATACAAACACGTACGTACGGTACGTACGTACCATCTCAGATTCAAAAATAAATAAATGTACCGGTAATACCGGTACAAGGCTGGGGTGTGAAATATCGCGTGACAGCTTTTTTGCGGTACTATTTCTACACAGGCCTACGTGAAGAACAGTGCGATATATTACACCCTGGAGCCCAAGCTGTCACTTAGTTCCACCTGGAACCAAAAAGGAACTATTTTATATCGAATTATTTCCTATTTTCGGAGGTTTCCGAGCTCACTTTTTCAGAATTCGAATCGGCGAAACGAAATCGATTTCCGGAGACTAGTTATTACCATGGAATAGAATGGAAATCGGAATCGATTCCAAGAACAGATTTCTCTTAACATAAATCACTTACTACTGGTGCGCTCTCTTAAGCGCTTACTACTGGAGCGCTCTCTAAGGCGCTAACTACTGGAGCGCTCTCTAATTTCGAAGGAGCTTTCCGACCTTTCCGACGTCGGAAACTTTTTTCCTCTCAGAATTCAGGTCTGCGAATCGAAATYGACGTCCGGTCACTGCTTATTTGCATGCAATAAAATCGAAATCAAAATCAATTCCAAGAACAGATTTCTCTTAACATAAATCACTTACTACTGGAAGCTCCTCTTACACTTCAGCAACTTCACCACCAATCACTTCCTTTAGAGCCTCCATAAGTGAAGGAGGAAGATTTCTAGCAGCTCTTTCCTCCTCAGTCATGGCTGCAAGGCAGTTTAGAGCATCCTCTTGTTGCCTAACTCTCTCCCTTCCTAATGCAGTCTCCCTGATTGTGATGTCTTCTTCCTTCAGGTTCTGCATTTGAGATTCATCAGAGTCCCTCCAGGAAGGCTCTGCATGAGGGAGATTCCTGACTTGCATCCACATACCAAATAGTACACTGTCTTTCTTTGTAGGGATTTTCTTCTGTTGTTTCCACTGGCACAACAGTCTGAGTGTTGAGACTGGAAGTGACTTGGCATCTTCCTCCTTGTAAATATCTTTCCCCTTTGATACCAATTCCTGAATCACTGCAGTCGCCTTTGCATTCAACTCACTAACTGCATGGGATTTCTTCTTCGCTGTTTCCAGATCCTTAACAAGCTGTTGTCGCCTCTTTCGTTCTTCAGCAATGAAGTAGTCGTCACTGTTTAGTGTGTCGCCTTTTGTCCTAATAAAATGCTCACTAGAGTATTTTAGACTGCCAATCGCATTTTGCCGTTCCCTTGTTCCAGCTTTCGTCACTGGTGTTGCAGAAGCTGATTGCCTTGGGGCATATCTTCGGTAAATCTCTCCATTAAATCCAGCATCATTTAGTACTTGGATTGCCGTATTATTCACTCATTCCCATTCAACAAGCTCAGCCGTCTTAGGATCAGCGTCAATATCAATGCTACTGTCTGGAAGCATAATTATTTCGTGAGCAACTTTCTGGTCGTTGAGGCATTGACGCGTAAAAGGGGCAATCCCAATCTTAGCCCACACCGCCTTTGTCTTATCCACTGCAAAGGCTTTGTGGAAAGCGTGCTCAAGTTGTACCGGTTTGTACCAATTTTTTCGCTTACCAAAAACAAGTAGTGGAAAATTGGTCTGGCGGACCTTCTCCCCATTTTTTCGACGGTGCAATACGAGCATTTCCAAATTTCGTCTGTACATTGATTTGAACGGTCCATAGTTTCTATTGGTTGGTTGAGTGACATGCGTTGTATTTGGCATGCCAGGAAGAAGATAAAAGCCTTTTGCACGAAGCTTCACCAGCAACTCTTCGTATTTTCTTCCTGGACCACTATCAAGGATCAAAAGGACTCGCCGTCCTGGGATATCAGCGGCATCAGGAAACAAAAGTTTCATTATGTTGTCTTTGATATATTTCAAAAATTGTTCAGCGTTCATTCCTGCAGTTTCATTACAGTTGACCGTAATACCATTTTCAACTCGCCCATCACGACCATAGATACCCTCTGTTTTTGGGATACCGTCAATAAAAGCTGAGTGGATCCTCTTGTCGTCTTCCTCCTTTGCTGTCGATTTTAGTTGGAAGTGTGGGACGAGAGGATATCCAGCCGCATTGCTTCCAGCAACAAGAGTGATTTGGGAGCTGCTCTTGTTCGTGCAATCAGCACCACAGGCAATATTCTTGCTTGCAGGCCCATACCGAGTAGGTTCCCGACCTCCAGCGAGATAGGAACATCCGTCTAAAGTCAAACCACTCTCATCAAGATTCACAATACGATTCAACTGGTTTGGAAGAAACAGCAGTTCACCTTCACCGTCTTTGTCATCCATTCTAACTTGAGCAAATCCAAGGTCGACAAGCTTTGCACGGAGTGAATCAAAGAAGGTGTTAATCTTATTATACGTTGTCCACTGGGCACGTCGCTCTTCCATCTTTGAATTACCGGTCAGCAATAGTCCTAGGACACGGCGTGACTGAGTATCCATTTGGAACTGATCCAATGGCTGCTGTGGTGATGGTGGTGTTGCTTTTGCAGCTGTTGATGTTGTTATTGCTCATTTCAGAGCCAAAATACACCCCAAATACAGCAAAAACTGCTTTTTCTTTCCAAATACTCGGTCGATTGCAACGATACTTCCGGATCAAGTCTCCTTTGATGTATTAAGGAGGTTCCGGACACTGGTTGTTTCTGTTATGCAGGGGAAGATAGTTTCTTTTTTGTTACACTGTGGAGTTCGTCGATGCTGTTTTCAGGACGATTTTTTGCTGTAGCTTGGATGTACTGTTGCTTCTAAACCACTCAGTCGATTGATCCGCTACTTCACGATCCCCTTCCCCTTATTATAATGAAGAGGTCTTGTATATCAATCGCGCTGATATTGTTGGTTAAAGTGTTGAACTAAAGAGGTGACAGGTCCCTATGTTGAGGTGGATTAAATGAGAGTTTTTTGCAATTTTCGTTGGGGAGAGAAATCAACAAGCCCGAAAAGGTTTTCTGAAAGAAACACCCAGTAATGTGCA